TCATCAAGAAAATTCTGAACACTTTCCCTTTTTAAATGAAAATAAATTTTCTGTTCTTTTGCCAATTACCACATTGCACTTCAAGCAGTGATGCCCAAATACGCAGACTGGATACACCAATGGGAAACTTGGGAGTGACCTGGCACCAAGGCTCTCCATTGATGTCGGCCCCTACAAAGGTGACCGCCCTGGTTTCAACCTGGAATCACTTCTCACACCAAAGGGTGGGAACTGCAGGCAGATCATGGGAGTATGTGTAAGACAATGATGGTTGGAAGACATCTGATTCACTGATCGCTTGAGTGAAAAAAGTTATTTTGAAACCTGAAATGAATCATCACAAACTATCAGCAAAAAAATGCTTTGAAAATTCTATCCAAAACCACGCAAAAATAAGCAAAGCAAAATTCTTGGAAGCATTCTAGGAAATGAACAACGTGCCCACACCTTTACCAAAATATTTCTTTCCTATAATGATATTACCTGAAGTGCCCAGCGCTGATCTGTATCATGGATGGTGGGAAGAGAATTTCCTAGTGAAATTCACCACTCTGTGACATGATCCACACAGGACCAAAAGACAAAGTGTAGCTACTCTGGAGACATTCACCCTGGGTCAAGCCAAACTGCCCACTGCTCCTGGCAGAGCCTGTGCGTGTGGGCAGGTGCCTGAGACTTGGCTCTAGGCAGCATTCAGGGGTGCGGGCAAAGGTGTTCTGCTAGATCAGGGTTCCCACGCTTCTAAAGTGCCCCACTTTGTCTCAAATCAGTGCTGTGTTCTTATGCCTCTTTAGGGGTAGCAAGGAGTGGATAAACCAAAAAATCAGTTACTGTCGAGTTGATTCTGACTCATGGCGACCCCATGTGTCTCAGAGTAGAACTACTCCCTAGGGTTTTCAAGGCTGTGACCTTTTGAAAGCTGATTCCCAGGTCTTCCTTCCGAGGCGCCTCTGGGTGAGTTCAAACCATTAACCTTTCAGTTATTGCTGAGCGCTTAATCATTTGCACCGCCCAGGGACTCCTATGGGGTGGATACATCTTCTTAAATGTAATTAGGAATGTAATAAGATCACTTACACTTAGGATAGTAAATAAGCATACATAACAACAAGTAATCTGATCATTTGCTGTAACTTAGTCCTCTCAAACTTACACTCTTTCTTGATTTCCACCAGTGTCTCCCCCACCCAACAATAAAACAAAACGAAACAAAACTTAAGCTCTTGCTAGACCTTACTCGTTTTCCTACAGGGTAGTGTGAGAGATCTTCTTCAGAGACAAATCTGATCACGTAACCCTACTGCCTCAAACCCTTCATGGAGATGAAGACCCAAATCCCTAACATGGTCTGACTCTCACGGAACATCTTTGCCCCTCTTTCCAGCCTCTCTACCCTCCTTCTATGTCACTGCTGTCTCAGTAGGGTGGGATGCCTGACCCCAGAGGGAAATGGGTGGAGACTTATTCTGACTTATAGCTGCCACCATCATAGGGAAAGGCAGAGGGGAGGCTGCAGACATTTCCGGTCCAGAGGCTGGGCATGCTCACCACACTGAAATGCTTGACACAGTCTGGGAAAGAATGGTCCAGCATCCAGGCGCCACTGACAGCTGCTGCCATTTGGCCTCTTTCTAGCTCCTCTGGGCAGGTGCACTTTGCTCTGTGCTGCCAGGAATACTTTGTCCCCACCTTCCCCCACACCAACCTTGCCCCACCTGGCCATCCCCTACTTGTCTTTCAAGAACTTAAGCATCATTTCCCTGGAGAAGACTCTTCCCTGGCTCACCAGGCTAGGCTGTGTCCCTGTATTATAAGTGCCAACTACAGCTGCAGGGCTCACCACAATGGTGAGCAATTATTTGTGTCATTAAAACCCACTGCCATTGAGTCAATTCCGACTCATAGAGACCCTATAGGAGAGAGAAGAACTGCCCCATAGGGTTTCCAAGGCTGTAATCTTTACAGAAGCAGACTGCCACGTCTTTCTCCCGCGGAGTGGCTGGTGGTTCGAACCGCTGGCCTTTCGGTTTGCAGTCGAGCCCTTAACCACTGCATTCCTATTTATATCATTACTAATCATCAACTCCAAACTTACGTAAGCACCAAGAGGCCAGGATAGGCATTGCCATCTTGTTACTTCGATATCCATTGTGCCCCAGAGTGCCTGGCACATGGTAGATATGCCATGATTTTTCTTTTCAAAACACTTTCTCTTCTCTCCTATTTCCGGAGTTTACACCCTCACTAAACTCTCCCCTTGAATACCTGGAGTCTTAACTAGGATTCTTGAATCCAGTTTTTCCTTCCACCATTCCCCTTGTAAAACATGGTAGATTCCTTTTCCCAAATTGCTCAGTTCACAACACTCTCCTTGATCTAAATTCTATACTGACTCTTCAGTGCCTAAACAATTAAGTCCCAATTTCTTCACTGCACCTTCAAAGCCCTCTACAATCTAGCTTCCACAGACCTTTTCAAACTTTTACCATCTTGTACCCTTCAAATGCTGAACTTCTAGCTTTCCACATCTGCCCTGGATTTCTCCACTCTGTGTGGCTCTTCCCTCTGCTGAGACACTGCCCTCCCTTCTTACACATTTAAATACCACTTGGACTTCAAGGCTAAGCTTCAATGTTACTTCCTTAAAGGAACCATTTTTAATCCTAAGTGAAAGGCATCTCTCAGCCTTCTGCAATCTGATGACACTTTATCTGTATTTTACTTGAGACAGTTATTTTCTACCTCATATTAGAGGTACTGATGTAAAAATCTAATCTCCTTTCCCAGACTACAAACTCGACGAAGGTAAGACTCACATTGGTTCATTTACTTATTACCCTCAGAATCTATCACAGGATCTTGGCCAGAAATATTACATGAATGAATAAGGTTAATGAGCAATAATGTAATAATTTTTGTTTTAAATATTCATTTAACTAGTTAGAGGAAGTCAACTAATGAACAAGAACACCAATGGCCTTCTGTTGTTTGGTGCCCATTACAATTAATATTTGCAATTTACCTCCCCTTAAACAATTTCACTCAGTAGGTTATTGTTTTAAAAGAAAACCCTTATGCTAAAGGTTTAATAAATATAATGAAATAATGACACCGACGTTAACAGTTATAATAAAAACTGAAAAAATCATCCTATTGGCTGGCTGCTAGGTAACTTTCCAAATTTAAGGGGGGAGTAGACAAGGTTAGAGGAGTCTCTGGGTGGTGCAAAGTTAATGTGCTTGCTTCTAATCAGAAGGCTGGAGGTTCGAGTTCACCAGAGGCACCTTGGAAGAAAGACCTGGTGACCTACTTCTGAGAAACCAGCCATTGAAAAGCCAATGGAGCACAGTTTTACTATCCACACATGGGGTCGCCATCAATCGGAGTCAACTCCATGTCAACTGCTGGGAGTTCACTTCCTTTTAAACTTACACCACAATAGGTGGGTGAATGGATTTCCATAACGGAATTTAGGCAAATTACAGCATTCCATCATAAACTGTAAGGGACAAATTCAAAACCTGTTCATAACAGGATTAGAAAACCACTGTCTCTAAGGTTGAATGGGGCCACACTAGTTTCTTTTGAAGCAGGCAAGTAGATGGTCACCTTGTAAAACTTCTGAGTAGAGTCCAAAGGCAAGTACTTCCTGGGGTAGGAACATAGCGCAGTGTTTGGAGAAGAAAGGAAAGGGTCTGGACGCAGTACTTGTAGCCAGTGCAAGCTATCTGCTCTCTTTTCCTGAGTTCGAAAGGCTGAGGTCAGGCACAAGAGGACAATTGCTCTTATGCTCTTCAGACATCTTGCTTCCCATCACTGTACATCCTGGTATAACGATGGCTGCTTCTATGAGCAACATGTTACAGCTTCTAGAACCAAGTCACTTACTTAGCAAAATCATTTTCAAACAAACACAATCCACTCTGAGTAAAGCTGAATCCCAAGAAAGCTTTAGCGTTAAAAGAAAATGATTCCCCTAGAATGTCTTTTTGGGGATAGGGCTAGAGGCAAAGAATCTTATTTTCTGATCTAGTGACTTAGGGAGCCTTGAAAGAAAAGGAGGTCTGATGAAACTGAAAGAATAGGTCATCTGGTATCATAAACTGGCTGTGCACACATTTTCTCTAACGGTCAGTATTTCATAGGTTAAGGAATATTAGCGAGAATGAATCATTTCTGTTTGAAACATACAACACATTGACACAGAAACAAAGAAGCTTGAAAACATTATATTCTTTGGTTCTTTGAACAATAAAAGGCCTTGTCTAGTCAACGTTTGGAGTAATTTTTCCCAGGGGGATTATTACTATTTGAATGGGATGAAAGAGGAGCATTCTAGAGATACACTTACAGTGTCCGAGACTAAAGACATGTCTCTTTAAGAGGCAGTATTTTGGATGTAGCAAGAAGGGCAGATAAACACAGAGGGCACACCAGATTTCCCACATCTCCTCTCCCAGCTCTAGAGAAAGTCTAAGACCCATTTGGAGGATTAGTCTTCAAACTATAATTTAGAAAGGTCTATCTCCAGAAAAGAGGACAAAGAGGACTCTCAAAAAACTAGGTATATGTTAAACTCTTAAGAAATTTGAGATATTCTAGATATAGTTACGTGAGACCTGGAAAATGAAAGTGCATGTAATTAACAGAAAATTTCAGACTCGTGCACAAGAGGCACTGATGTTTCATCGTAGCATGGTGCTTTGGATCCTTGGCTCAAACATTGATTGAAAATTAAGCTTAGAATTCCTAGTATTTAACTACCCAGTGCACTGTAAAGAAAATGCGTGCTCAAGGTCAGAATTGATGAAACCTAAAAGCGAGATCCTGGGGACTAGCTATCATTTGGTTTTTGGTACATTTTTGCTCTCAAGTTTGTTCTTGGGGTCTCTAGCTCTGCAGAATCAGAAAAAGAAAACTGTGAACACACTGGCACCAGAGAGACTGAAAAGCTGACCAGAGGGACTACTTGCTGACAGTTGAAATTATGAAGCCGTTACCATGCTCCAGCGCTTTCATGGGAAACCAGAAGAGGATGAGGGAGTGGACCAAGGCGTTGATGCAGTGACCCCAGAAAACCTACAGGAAAACAAACCAAGGGAGTCAGGAGCTGCTCACAACACTTGACCTCTGCCTAACTCTCCACAAACGCCTCATTGTGAAGGGTGCTGGCAGGGTGTTGCTCAGCCCCAGAAGGAGCATATTATTCTTGGAGTTTAAAAAAACCAACTATTTCCTCATTTTTTACATACAAATGACTGGACGATCTCCAGACAACATTGCTTCAGTACAAAGACCTAACTTTATATATACATACACGTATACATAGACAAACACATAACTTGTCCAAGTTTGAAAAATGAGTTAAACCTGTGCACTTTCTGAAAGCATTAAAAGCATTTTACTTGTAAATTCTTACATCACATTCTCACTCTTTTATTTTACTGAAGTCTCTTCCCATTCCAGTTTTTCTTTAATTTTTAGCATTTGATTAAGATCATGCATTTTTTAAAATTTTCTTTATTTTAGTGCTTGAAAGGTAAAACAAAAGAACACCAGGTTTAGTTGGTTTTAAACTAGCATTTCATTAATGCATTTCAATCATCTTTGAAACCAGAGTGGATAGAACTATTAAAGCTAGATTGAGTTTAATTAAAAATCTACAAGCTCTTCTGGGATTTGTCATATAGTTTGATGCTAAGTAATGGGAGGGGCAACAGAAAACAGTGAAAAGCATTATTATAAGTGAGAGAGGTTTTTCCCATGTTAAATGTTCATTCTTCCCTATCCTTCCCTGATCCCTATACAAAAAAGGTCTTCAAGGTGCCTGCAAATAAGTCTCAGGGCATTCTCAGCTCTGCTACCTTTTACATGAGTTCTTTTCCTACTTCTACTTCCCACCCTACATGGCCTTTGACTTCTAACTCTACAGAAAACAAATTTCATTTATGCAAATAATAAAGAACAAACAGGTCATATTTTCCCATTGACAGAATTGTAGTAAACAAAGGTTGATAAAATGAGTCACCCATGTCTCATTGTGTATGGCAGACAGTAGCAGGATCAACAGAATCCCTTGCGTTTTTTCCAGTCTCAGATATGCTATTATTATATTTCCCCAAGAATAAGGGGGCTCTAAAGGAAGACCACAGGCAGTACCTGACTCTAAAACAAAGTCATCAGAGACTGTTCCTTATTGAGGACTGGGAGGGACATTCCCATATCATCCTTACTAAGGTCCCAGAGCTACCCAAGCAAATCATGAACACAGCCAGCTCACGGTATTTTAACTGAACTGGGCAGCTGAGCCTCCCTTATCCTCCCCTGCACAAAAACCTAAGACAGACATGTGGCCAGGCCAGGTGTGTTCATATCAAGCGTCCTCTGCCCGAACAGAACATACCTTCCCTCCTGGCTGGTGGCCCTCAACTCTCTTCCACTCTTAGCTGTGACCAGTAGGCTGGGGGACAGACCCCTTTGCCACTGAAGACAAAAGAATCCATTTACACCTAATCCAGTTTTTTCTGTGTCTTCTCAGGATTACTTTTGCTTTTTTTTTTTTTTTTTTGGTCTAGATGATTTATCTTTTCTGATTCTACCACCTGAAGAAAAATATCCATGTCTCACTTGACCCCCGTGTTCATATCTAGCCAGTTTTACTCATTGGCTTAATAAGCTTTTTCTTTCAGATGGAAAGTCAAGCAGCTGTGGCTGGAGGGCTCTGGAGGGCTAGCTCCTGGCTCCCCTAGACACAGGGTGTTATGAAAGTGTGAGGGGGCTCCCTGATGGCTGATTCTACAGGAAGTGGGCTATGGGTGTGGCTGCCCACATAAATCCCAGAGGCAGATGGAAAGACGAGGGAAGATGTCAACAAACTGTAATTAAGAGAAACGCCACATACAACATGGAAACCGCCTTCCGAATTTGGCATCTCTGGTTCACCGAGCTTTCTCTATCGAGCAGGGAGGGCTGTGGTCTTGCTGCTTTTCAAATTTTCTCTCTAAAGCTTCAGACTTCTCCCAGGCAGATGACTAGAGCTGAAAGACCAAAGGCAGGGCTTATGCCTATCTGAGGGGGCAATTTGCAGCGAAGTTGTATTTACCTTGGTGTTGAAGCCTTCAGCATTCTGGGTAATTTTGTAGAGCTGTGGAAACCTGAGCATGCTCTCCTGAGTACAAGACCTCTCGAAGATTCCCAGAGTGAAGGGCGGCAATGCCGTGAAAATCTACACAGAGAACAATGAGCCATTAGAAGAGGCCTTTTTGATTCACACAGTGTGAGTGTTTCAGTTCTATGGAATGATGACTTAATTTCCAGTCAAGACCAAACCTGAGAGACCATGATTCGCAATTCTCCAGACACCTTCCAAACAAAGAAACTAAGAGGAAGGCTATTTTTAACTGTTACATAATCAGCATAAAATGAATACACTGAATGCTCAAAACAGCATAATAAATATTGGATCTGCCACCAAATCTTGCTAGATTAACAACAGCCAAATCTTGCTAAAATAACAAGCTAGTGATGATTTAGAGTCACACCACAGTGAGCTTTGTGAAATCATGTCCTGTTTTCTGTTAGTGCTAGCTGAGGCACAATTTTGCCACTTCCCATACTGATGTTATACTCAAATTTCAGGGAGCACAGTGTACTTCATCCATTTATTCAGTCAAAGGACATTTATTGGAAAGAAATTCCGGGAGCAGACACTGTGATAAGCACCAGATATTTAGAGATTCAGAAAAGAAGACAGAAAGAAAGAAAGAAGGGAGGGAGGGAGAAAGGAAAGAAAGAAGAGGAAGGAAAGAAGGGAGGGAAGGAGGGAGGGAGGAAAGAAGGAAGGAAGGGAACATGGTCTTTCACCTCCAGGAACTCAGTCTAGTGCAGAAGTAGGGACAGGGGTAGTGGGAGCTGGCACATGAATATATACAAACAGTGCTCTGCCAAAGTACTAACGGGGGAAGAAATGGAGAAGGAGAAGGGAGAGTTCAAGAAAGGATTCTTGGACCACAAAGCATCTGACCTGCAAGGTGCACCCACAGGACTTGGCATGATGATCAGGAATGCAGGTGACAGGGGTACAGAAGGAAGCATCCCCCCTCAGAGTCTCAGGTATAAATGAGCATGGGGTGTGGGAAAAACCTCTAAGATGTACAGGACGGCTAGATGAGGATGTGGTGGAAGACAAGGCTGGAGAGGAGACCAAAGCAACCTCAGGTGAGTGACGAGTTCTTGAGCCAGATGGCACCTTCCTTCTAAGACTTTTCCTTTCACCTGTTATTGTAGGGGTGTGACGTGATAATTGTGTTTTAGAAAGATGAAGCCAGATGCTGAAGAAGGGGTTTGGGACACGTGTCATTTCAGTATGGAATATGCTATGATCTCATGGATCATTTTCTTAGGTTTTGGTGACAGTTCATAGAGACTCCTTGGCATCAACCAAAGTCATATGTATAAACCCAGCAAGCTCTCCAGCGAGCCCATGGAAATTGGTAGTGTGGCTTGGAGAGAATTCTGCAGTCGCAACTCATACCATTTATTTGGAGACTGAGGACATAAGCCAGAGAAAGAAGCCTCTGACACGGCTGTCCAGGTAAAGCAATCAGAGAGGTGGTAAGTAAGGCCAATAAAACCCTCAAGCTCAGTCTGCACTCACCCTAACGCAGAATGCAAAACAGCCCTGGAGTTCAAGGCCTTACAAAGACTTCAAGGAGAAAAACCTTCAGAGTTGTTGCACTGTTGGTCAAGACTAAGAACTGTAAGTGATCTAGAAAATGGCTGGAGGAAGGAACTCCCACGGAACACCCAAGAAACTCTTATTACATACGCTCACCTACATTATTGTGCATAAATGCACACATGTGATATGATGCGTTCTGTTTATACTGCCGTCTTTACTTTTTGCTTTTCTTTTTTACTTGACCTTCTCCTTCTACCTACTTCAACTTCTCTCTCTCACTTTACCACTAGGCTAACAACCTACTAGACCAGTTGCCTCAGAGTTACTTCAGACTCCTGGTGAGCCCGTGTGTGTCAGAGTAGAACTGTGCTCCATAGGGTTTTAGAGGCTGATTTTTTGGAAGTAGATCGCCAGGCCTTTCTTCCAAGGTGCCTCTGCATGACTCGAACCTCCAGTCTTTCAGTAAGTATCTGAATGTGTTAACTGTTTGCGCCACCCAGGGATTCCAAAAACCTAGCATGCCCTATCATATTTTCACCCTGCTGATAGCATCCTACACACAAATATGTAGATTGTTTGGGGATCATGATTTGTTTTATAAAAGGGGAGTATTATACACATTTTTCCTCATCATACTTTCCTCCCTAACAATACATCATGGCAATTCCTCCAAGTCGACACTAATGCAGTCGTTTCAAAGCTCACATAATAATTCATGGTAGGGACACACCATATTTTTTCAATCCTGTAGCTACTGATAAGCGTTCGTTTTGTTTCCCATTCTTTGTTATCACAAAATTATGTAATGTATCTATAATATATTGTAACATATGTACTTGTTCTTTTATTTTTATGGGAAGCATTTCCAGGAGTAGGATTGCTGGGTGAAAGGATGGCTGCTTTCAAAAAAGGTTCCGATCATTCACCTTTACTTGCAAAGGACAACTGTAAGCTTTTGCTTGCTACCCTACTAGCAAGAGGTGTTATACTGGTCTTTTTCTATTGTTCAGTCTAGAAAAATTAGAGATATTAAACCCTACTTTTAAAACATTTACATCTTTCCGACTACTACTGAGTTTGAGCATCTTTTCATATATTTGTGAGCCATTTGGATTTGCAATTCTGTGAAATGTTTGTTAAGCTCCTTTGCCTATTTATAGTTTATCCTCTTTTCTAAGAGTTCTTTGAGTATAACAGATATCAATTCTGTCTTTATGTTACAGAATTTCAACCAAATGTACCCTTTGTCTACTAGCTTTCTTTATGGCTTCTTTTGCCATACAAAAGCTTTCCATTTTTATAAAGTTGAGAACTGTTTCTGAGTGTCCGATTTATGGATGTCTCCCTTCCTTGGAACTTACATGTACTTTTCAGGAGGTTCTTGCAGGATTACAATAGTTTTATTTTTTCACATTTAAGTCGTTAATACATCTGGAATTTATTTCGGTATATAGTATGAGATAGGAGGCCAGTTTTACCTTCTTCCAGATGGAGAACCAGTTGGGAGAGCACAATTAATTAATTCAAATCTTTTCTACTAAACTGAAATACTTTCAAGTGGCACAGTGGTTAAAGAGCTCAGCTGCTAACTGAAAGGTTGGTGGTTTGAACCCCCCAGCCACTCCACGGGAAAAATATGTGGCTACCGGCTTTCATAAATATTTACAGCCTTGGAAACCCCATGGGGTTGCTATGAGTGGGAACTGACTTGATGGCAATGGGTTTGGTTTTTTATAGTATAGTCTGGTATTTAGTAAAGATAAGCCTATCCTTACAATTGTTCTTCTTTGAACTTTCCTTACATATTTATTCTCAGACATGTGCTAATTCCTTGTATACTTTCAGATCATTTTATCAAACTCCCCTCTCCTCAAAAATACAATCACTTATTGAGATCCTATTTGGAATCATATATACAAATTTATACATTAATTTTAGAAGAATTGATTCTTTTATGATTCTAATAAGTTTTCCCATGTAAGAAAATGGCATGCCTTTCCATTTGTTCAAATATCCTTCAATGAGATTTTATATTGTTTTCACAGAGGGACTGTAAAAAATATTCCTAAGTAATATATAATGTTAATCAGTATTTTGAAAGGAATTATTATTCCCTGCATATTTCTAGGTTCTTATTGCTAGAAAAGAAAAAGACCTAATGATTTTTATATATTTATCATGCATCTGGTCACATTGTCAAATTCTCTTGTAATGCTAGTATTTCTTCACTGGTATCTTTTGAGTTTTTAAGATATACAATCATATGAGCATATGTGCATGCCTGTATCATTATGAGCATATTTGTATAAGCACAGAAATAGTTTCAATTTTTTCCAATATTTACTTAATTTTGTTGTCAGTTGCTAAAAATTCCAAAACAATGCTGAATTATACAGTGATGGCAGGCTTCCCTAATTTCTTATTTAAAATGAAATAGTTTTAGAATTTTACCATTTATGGTAACATGCTACTGTTTTGGTTTTTTTTTTAAGAAAGCAGGCTGTATCCGAGTTCCCTGGCTTCTTTCTAGTCCTATTTTGAAGGTTTTATTTTGGGAATGGCAGCTGAATTGCCTCAAATGCTTTTGCAGTACCTACTTATGAGACCATGTTTTTCTTCTTCATTTAGCTGATACAGTGACATTGAGAAAGTTTTCTTGATTTTGAATGCCCTCTGTACCTTAAGAAGGAACCCTGGTGGTGCAGTGGTTAAGTGCTCGGCTGCTAACCAAAGGTCGGTGCTTTAAACCAAACAGCCGCTCCTTGAGAGGAAGACCTGTGATCTGCTCCTGTAAAGACTACAGCCTACGAAACCCTTTGGGGCGGTTCTATTCTGTCATATAGGGTTGCTATGAGTTGGAATCAACTTGATGGCAACAGGTTTGGGTTTTGGTTTGGTATACCTTAAATAAATCCTGCTTGGTCAAATATTGCATTCTTTGGATACATTGTTAACTTCATTTGTTGATATCTTACTGAGAATGTCTGCATTTATGTTTATAGGTGAGGTTGGCACATGGTTTTCTTCTTCAAGCTATGCCTGCTTGATAAAATTAAACCGGACTGATTTCCTGAAACCGTTTAAATAACATTAGAGTTATCTCTTTAATAGAAATTGGCTGTGATCCATTTAATTCTGGGAGCTTTTGTCACTGGAAGCCTTTCGAATTTCATTCTACTGACATTTCTATTCATGGGTGATCCCCTTTTCTAAGAGTTATTTGAAAAATCTGACTAAGGGTATAACCGGAATCCAACAGGGCAGCATTCATGCCTTATTTGGGGAGATGCATGTCAGTTTTAAAGTATTAAAAAGCAAAATTGCCACTTTGAGGACTAGGGTGCACCTGACCCAAGCCAGGGTATTTTCAATTGCCTCATATACATGTGAAAGCTGGACAATGAATAAGGAAGACCGAAGAAGAATTGATGCCTTTCAATTAAGATGCTGGCAAAGAATATTGAATATACCATGGACTGCCAGAAGAATGAACAAATCTGTCTTGGAAGAAGTACAGCCAGAACACTCCTTAGAAGCGAGGATGG